AACACGATTGAACCGGATGTTTTTTTTTTTTACTAACTCTAGTTCTTTCCCTGATCCTCATTAATTCGTCTGTTAATTATGTTCAGGAGGAGCAATGGTGATTAAGAGGGTAATTAGGCAGGTAAGAGGGAGAACTGGAGGCTAATTAGTACGATGGATAATGGTGGTGAGAGCAAGAAGGATAAAAAGAGAGAGAGAGAAAGAGAGGATTAGTTTAAAAAAAAGAATAGAGAGGGGTGGAAGGAGATTGGAAGTGGGAGAGGGAGAGGGAGAGGGATAGGGAGAGGGAGATACATAAATGAAGAGGGAGAAATAAAAGAGGGAATGGAATAGGAAAGAGAGAGGAATAAAGTAAGAGAAATGGTTAGGTGCAGTAAAATTAGAGAGAGAGAGAGAGAGAGAGAGAGAGAGAGAGAGAGAGAGAGAGAGAGAGATTAAACAAATACTTGGGAGCTCATATGAGTCTCTCTCTTTAACACAGTATCAGGCATACACAGAAAGACAGGCAATAACCAACGAATGTCACGTGGGATATTAACACACACACACACACACACACACACACACACACACACACACACACCCGTTCCGCGCACACATGTAATCTGAATCCCAAAGGTAATACAACAGTGTTCTGCTTACGTGTGTACAGTGTGTGTGTGTGTGTGTGTGTGTGTGTGTGTGTGTGTGTGTGTGTGTGTGTGTGTGTGTGTTTTGTTATGTAGGGCCTGTATATATGTATATATATACTCACCTTCTATGTATTAGTAGAGAGACCTGATTGTATATATATACAGTATAATACACATATATACTAAGGTGAGAATAATGTGGCCACTCTGTATGTTATTTTGTTCTCGGTGCCAGGAATCATGTTACTGTCTGGCACTGTCCAGAGGCACTGAGAAGGTCATATATAGTGTCCCTCCCACTTTTTCTTCTTTCTTTCTTTCTTTTTTTCTTTCTTTCTTTCTTTCTTTCTTTCTTTCTTCTCTACCTGGGAGACGACTGTGTGTCAGACTTAACCATTGGCAGACTGTGGGCCAGACCTAACCATGGGCAGACTGTGGGCCAGACCTAACCATGGGCAGACTGTGGGCCAGACCTAACCATGGGCAGACTGTGGGCCAGACCTAACCATGGGCAGACTGTGGGCCAGACCTAACCATGGGCAGACTATGGGTCAGACTGTTTAATAATGGAGTTAGTGATTAAAAATATATATAAAAAAAAGTTGGATATATAGAAGATGAAAACAGAACGAGGGAATTAGTGACAGAAAGCGATAATACATTTTCATTATTATAAGAGGATGAAGGAGGTGAAGAGGAGAGATAGAAGATAATGACGGTAGATGGAAGATAATGAGAGTAATAATGATAGAGTGGAGGTAAGAAATGAAGAAAACCAAGTTACTAATTCTGGAACTAGAGGGTGAGGCACCTATGGGCCGTGGTCACCAACCCTCAGAATGATGGGTCAGAGATACTGTATATGTTAATAATATCTTGTATTCTACATCTCAAATTAAAGTAGTGTATATTGTATTAATACTTCTTGATATAACTTACACATATCTCCGAGCATATCTAATATCGCTGTAATATTCACCTCTCTCTCTCTCTCTCTCTCTCTCTCTCTCTCTCTCTCTCTCTCTCTCTCTCTCTCTCTCTCTCTCTCTCTCTCTCTCCCAACTATACTTTATCCATTGCCATTTTAACGTCGTTTTGGTGTCCAGTTAAGAGGGAATTTTTACCTTACGATGCTTTGAGAATCCACCTTAAGTGAGTCAGTCAGATGTTGTTACCTGTAATATAGAGGAGGTTACCTGTAATAAAGGGAGGGTTACCTGTATTAAAGGGAGGGTTACCTGTAATAAAGGGAGGGTTACCGTCTCTCCTTCCCTCTATCTCTCAGAGTTAAGACTGAGAACGCCTCTGAATTTCCCCCTAATTAGCTTAATCTCTCACTGTTACCTGCGCCCTGACAGCTGTGTCCTGGGAGAGAGAGAGAGAGAGAGAGAGAGAGAGAGAGTAAAAGAGGAAAGATAAAAGACAGTAAAGGAGCTAGACAGACAAATAGACAGACAGATATATAGACAGACAGACCAATTGAGAGTAAAATTGTTTCCTAATCCGTAATTGCTGATTGTGAGAACGATTTACAGACTCACTTCACCAACACAACACCAACATTGACTCACTTCACCAACAAACGACATTTTGCTCCCCTTACTTCTAAGACAACGAGTGAAAGGGGGAGGAGGAAGAATGAGGAGGGAGGAAGGGCGGTTACACACACACACACACACACACACACACACACACACACACACACACACACACACACACACACACACACACACAACACTTCCCTTTCTCTTCCTTTTTCTCCTCCCTCCCCTCCCCCTCCCTCCCTCCATCTCCATCTCTCTCCATCTCTCTCATCTCCTCCTCCTCCATCTCTCCCCCATCCTTCCTCCATCCTCCCTCCCTCCCTCCTCCCTCCCTCTCTCTCCTCCTTCCCTCCCCCAATCCCTCCTTCCTCCCTCTCTCCTTTCCTTCACTTCCCATCTCTCTCTCCTCCATCTCCTCCCCATCTCTTCCCTCCCTCCCTCTCTCCTCCCTTCCTCCCTCTCTCTCACTTCATCTCCTCCATCTCCCCTCTTCCTCCTCAATCCCTCCTTCCCTCCCTCTCTCCCTCCTTCACTTCATCTCCCTCCCTCTCTCCTCCATCCCTCCCTCCTCCTCCCTCCCTCCATCCCTCCCTCCCTCCTCCCTCCCCTCCTCCACTTCATCTCTCCCTCCTCCTCCTCCCTCCTCCCTCCATCTCTCCTCCATCTCTCCTCCTCTCATCCCTCCTTCCTCTCCCTCCTTCACTTCTCCTCTCCCTCCCCTCCCTCCCTCTCCCCTCCTCTCCTCCTCCCTCCATCTCCCTCCTCCTACCTCCCCTCTCCTTCCTTAATCATCAGGTGTAATCTCTCTCCCATTATTCTTCCTTAATTTAGGTAATGTTGGACGAACAACATGGAGGTGGGGAGGCCAAGGGAGGGGGAGTGATGGAGGCCAAGGGAGGGGGAGGGACGGAGGCCAAGGGAGGTGCAGGGAGGTGACTGGTATAAAAGAACCATTTATTGCCTGTTCCAGTCTGTGACATGTTGATGAAGGAGAGAGAGAGAGAGAGAGAGAGAGAGAGAGAGAGAGAGAGAGGGGTACAAACAACACCATACCAGTGGTAAATATAATCCTTACAATCATATGAAATAAGTAAAAGAGATAAGGAATTTATGTTAGTACAGGAATTAAAATATTACAGCCATACAGTTCATTTCACAAGTCGAACATTAACTTTATAACAACCAGTACAGAAAGTTACAGCAGCCAGTAAATACAGTGGATCATACAGCGTTACTCCTCAAGTTTAACATCTGTCCAGGTAGTTACAGTATTACAGCAATTCATTAATACTGTACTTTGTTTGTGTGTTGTTAGTGATATTATGACTAGTTACAGTGTAGTAGTAAGTGTTCCGTTGCAGAGTACATAATCATTGCAGAGTACGTAATCATTGCAGAGTACGTAAACAACATGAACACTCAATGATGCAATAGTCAAATAATTTCAACTAAATTGCCGATAATATGGGCGGCAACACCTGTGATGGCAACATTTCATTTCCTGGCCAGCGTACGGGATTAAATCTCGCTGTCCTAACCTATCCTAACCTATCCTAACCTATCCTAACCTAACCTAACCGTGCAGATAGTATACAGAGATGTACATAAAGGACAGATGTACACATGAGCCAAGACGGAGGCAGATGTACTACAGTCTCGGTCAGTTATTGTCAAGGATGTGAATGTAATGTTTGTTTTTTTCTAAGTTTGAGAAAGAATAAAAGTTGAATTAAAGTAGAGCCTCAGTGTAGCTTTGACGACTGTATGGTCATTTGTCTGCTGCACATTTGGGTACGATGTCACGGCTCCAGTTAGGAGAAGGATTTAAATATTAAGCCTTTGAGTCCCCAGTCAGGCCCGCAACATATCTTCACATTAGGAGTAAGATGCCCCAAGCATACTCTTGACACAATTCCACAAGCACACTCATGCACTCCATGCAGCCAAGGGAAGCCTCGTGTTTTCTAAAGAATCATTTATAAAACAATTTACTTTACTGGAACACATACCAATAGTGATTTACTTAAACTACGACATAGGATTTTTTTCAATATTTTTTTCTTCTTCTCGTAACTGGAGCTTTGAAGACGTTATCTGATTCCCTCAACCCATGAAACTAAAGATGGATTCTCAAAGGATTTTATTTTGAATTTTTTCCCTGACTGGAGGTGTAATAAGGCGCATCTGGAGTAAGGATATCAAAAATGGTGGTCAAACTCGTCAAGAAATTCCACTGTTGAATTTTTACTGTAGTTGAGAGTTTTCCTTCTCTCCATTTACGAGGAATAAGTTATCGTGTGAACTATTGACCATCTAAAACATGAAGCCGTCTTAAATAACTAGTCTTTTTCACTTATAAATGTATAATCTCTCTATCTATCTACTTATCTATCTTTGTCTATCTATCTGTCTATCTATCTATCTATCATCTCTATCTATTTATCTCTCCTTTATCTGTCTATTTTCCCTCTTCTAATCACTTTACCTGTCTCTCTACTTGACGTCATAATTAACAAAATAAATGAGAATAAATATGCAGATCAACTCCCTGATGATCTCAAAGCTTAAGATAATATCGTAGTGATTATGATTATTATTTACATGATTAAGTCCACGTGACCATTAATTAGCACAGGTGTAGTTTACTAATTACAGGTAGGATTTATTACCATTGTTGCACTTGGTTCACCTCAGTGGGAATTTTTCTTGGTAGATTTTTTTTTCTTTGAGTAATGGTCAGAATTTTCTTGCTCCAACCCATGATTCTTATCCATGGTTCCTGTTGTTTGAGTCATGATTCTAAACTATGATTCTGTTATTTCAGCCATGGTGAGGGAGTGCGGCGTGGGCGGCAGACTGCGAGACAAGGTCAGCCACCCACCATACCACCCACACCACCACCCAGGACTCAACACACCATCCACCACCACTACCCGATTCAACACCTGTTTTCATTAGCCGTTGCCTAAACACCTGAGATCTTACACACACACTGACTGAGGTACTCAATTTTGTGCGTCTGATAGTAACTCACTGGTCATCTGAGTGCGCCTGCGCATTAACTGCGTCTGAACGGCTCCTGAAACACCTCTCCTGAAGTCTGAGTGCGTCTGAAGTCTTAGATATCCAGCGTGTTATTGAATGATCCTGGATGTGTCATGTTTCTTGTTCACTTCCTCGAGAACATTAGTTATCGCCTCCCATACTGACTGAACTCACTTCAACGCCAAGTGTAGCCAAACCAGTACTAGCTAAGTGCGTTTATAGTACTCGAGGAGTGTTCTTGGGAGTGTTTACGAGTACAGTACGTAGTTTAGCATCACAATTGAACTTTCAAAAGAGCTGTCATGTATTAGGTGTTGGTACACATGTAAGGGACTGTACCTGCACTCACCCGATCAACAATATAGTGAAATTACAGTAGAGTGATGTTGAGTGTCTCGTGACTACTCTGACAACAACACCACCATGCCCTCAATAACAGCACCCACGGAGTTCCCGAGCTACTCTCTGTCCGATCCGGCCGAGACAGAGGAGGAAGATTCGGACGAAATTTATATAACTCTGTGGAGAAAGTTCATGGAGCAGTCCGCCTTGATCAACGCCACCAACGGCGACCACAAGATGTTGCAGTGCTTCAACATGTACCTCAACACCACCATGGACCCTGAGAGTGACCCGGGGGCGTGTCCAGTCAAGTTTGATGGGGTGTCTTGCTGGCCCGAGACTCCCCCAGACACCACGAGGGCCATTCCGTGTTTCAACGATTTCAACGGCGTCCATTACGAACCTTCAGGTAAGATAATTGTTTAAGACCAACACTCCCAGCGTGGCTCTGTGTCTGACGTGTCACTTCCTCTCTGACCTCTTGTTTTATTATTAGTGATTGGCGTTTAAAAAAATCCCGTAGAAATCTTCTCAGCCACATTCCTTGTTCTTCTACCAAAATATGTATATATGTATTGTACTGTACATAATTATAAAACGGGATACGATATTACAATGAAACAAAAACAAATATATTCGTTGAACTTTGACATAGTGACAAGTGAACATAATTACTTCCGTGTTCCACCCACTTCTTCCAACACTTGATGTCGTCACAATAAAACTTTGTCTCTTGTTGACGGGACCGATTCCTCGCTGCTGTCTTGACTTCACCTTCATAACAGAAACATAGTCCTCAAATAAATAGAAATCTTATGAAGAACTGGGCTGTATGGCGGAGGTGATACTGTATAAGACAATAAACCCAAGGCGGTCAACTGATTCAGGTTTTGGTGCACTCGTGGGTGGTTGCGCTTTGTCATGTTGGAGGAGAACCACCTGAATATCGAGGCGAAGTCTTCGTAACTGTGCCTTCAATATCTCCAGAGTTTCAGCGTAGCGTGCTCAGTTAATGGTGGTGAGAGTTGGCAAAAATTTGAATTGACATCACCATTAACTTCCCAGGAAAAAAAACTAATTACTTTTCTGGCAGACTCTTAGGTTTTTAACTTTCTTTAGATCTCGGGGAACCTTTGTGATGGTATTCCATTGACGTCTCTTGCTTTCTTAGTCGCGATGGAGCAACAATATAGAATCCTTAAAGTGACGGACTGTTTCCTTAAGTTCCCCAAGACGATGTGGAATTTTGTAAGGGTCAAAGACGAGATAGACTTCGTCTACTCAGTCACCTACTCTGAATACGTACTCCAGAAACTGTATTGCGCACGTACACATGTTTTTACTGATAGTAGTTTGCCAAATGATTGTTCAATTGCTATTCCATTCCATCAAGTATCACACCTTTCATTGCTCAAGCTGCCTGCTGGGTCCCCTTCCAGTGTGTTGTGATCTGCAAGAGAATGGAGAAGACATTGCCGTTCACTAAATAGACCCAGCTCACAAATTCTTCAGACTTCTTAAATACAATAAAATATCCATAGCGTCTCCACACAACTTGCATGTCTGGTTAGGTTTGGCCTTGAGGTGAGGGGACCGACTTCTTGCCGCTGGGGTGCTGATGTATTATCCACGTTTCCAGTGGGCGAGAGTACAGCTTGAACAGACGATGGTGGCGTGCCTCAGGGCTTTTGTATTTCTTTGTTGTGTATCGTACCATCTCATACCCATTATACCTTCACCCCGAGACAATTGACCATTTTAGATTCATTGTATAGTTTTGCAAAAAAAAAAAATTAAATAGCTTTACTAATTTTGAGAAATACAGTACCGTACAGTCAGGGTCAAAAGTTCGCTCCCACCCAAAATGAAGCAGCAGCGACCCTAAACGAGATACAATAATTAGGGTTAGTCAGTTCGGAGACCCATTCCCGTGACTCAGTTTCAAAGCGGGGAGCTAACTTTTGTCCCTGACTGTACAGGTAATTTACTAGGTATGATGACCCCAGTTTCAAGTCTTTCTCTGCATTAAAAAACCTGAAATATTTTACGGGGTTCGTGTAATATATGAGCCCCTCTGAGTTCAACTGGCTCGTGATTCTACTCCGCTCTGATTCTCTCGTTTTACTCAATAATTTAATTCAGCATGGCACACTAATACTTTGTGGGGGGGTTATATTTGTAAACAATTGCCTATTTCCCTAATATGTTTTCTGTTCATTGTCTCGTAAAATTTCACTGTATCCTCACCAGCGATATATTGTAACTCACCTTAGAGGAGAAACCATGTCGACCATTCATGAAAACTCACAGTGCATTCATTGTGTGTGTGTGTGTGTGTGGGGTTGGGGGGTCCTTATATGCATTTCACAGTTTTAAAGCAGAGGTAACATTTGGTAGGGAGGTGCGGGTGACGTTGTGGATGGTTTATCTCCTATCCCTTCACCTGGGCTATTTCAACTAATTAAGCAATATAATTTACACCTTATGGGTAAAGTATTCAGTATATCATGGACATATAAGGAATTGTATAAGACAAGGTGTATAACCTGGATCTCCTACCTGAAATTTATGGTAATTAGAAAATCCCGTCCAGAGGCAATTCAATTACGGTAAAAATTGTCATCGTTTTAGAAACAGGGACGTTGGGAATCATGAAGTGGAATGGTCAGTTGAAGAAAGAAGGAATTGATGATGATGATGATGATGGCGGTGGTGGTGGTGGTGGTGGTGGTGATGATAATGATGTTGATGATGATGATGGTGATGATGATGATGATGATGATGATGTTGATTGTTGATGATGATTGATGATGATTGGTGATGATGATGATTAATGATGATGTTGATTGATGATGATGATTGATGATGATTGGTGATGATGATGATGATTAATGATGATGTTGATTGATGATGATGATTGATGATGATTGGTGATGATGATGATGATTAATGATGATGATGATGATTGGTAGTAATAATAATAATAAAAACATAAAATATAAGCTATATAAAATCACAATACATCCTGCAACCATTTTGTCATGAATATGTAATGAGTCTAATCTTATTATGCTCCCCCCAGACTAGAGACTGTCTCGGTACAGCCTCAGAGACACAATCTCAGCTTCTTAATTAATAGTTCTTGGGGAAAACTCTTCCTGGAATTCATTGGGAGATAATTGAATAAATTTTCGTTTTCATTTTTTTTAACAAGTTGAAATTGTTTCTTGAAAATTCTTGTCGAGTTTTTTGAGAGAGACGTAACTGACAGCTTCTTGTCTGTCTGTGTGTCTAACTATCTGTCTGTCTGTCTGTCTGTGTGTCTGTCTGTGCTTCTTCCTACTTTTCCGTTCGTCACCCATTATAATCAGCCATTAAACTTTACGGTATCTTTTGCTTTATTTAAATCATCATAAAAAATTTCTAAGCCTTTATCACTTTCATTTATTGGTACATAAACCTGTATTATCACCAAGTCAATGAGTTTAGCATAAGAACTTGACTAAACAAAACACTACTTTGGGTTTACAAGACCAACACCTCTTTTATGTTTTCACCACCTGACTATATGAAGTTAGAATCATCACCGCTAATGCTTCACTTAATCCCAGTATGTCCCACTTAATCCCAGAATGTCCCACTTAATCCCAGTATGTCCCACTTAATCCCAGAATGTCCCACTTAATCCCAGTATGTCCCACTTAATCCCAGAATGTCCCACTTAATCCCAGAATGTCCCACTTAATCCCAGTATGTCCCACTTAATCCCAGTATGTCCCACTTAATCCCAGTATGTCCCACTTAATCCCAGAATGTCCCACTTAATCCCAGTATGTCCCACTTAAACCTAGAATGTCCCACTTAATCCCAGAATGTCCCACTGCAATTCTTTCATTTCCCAACAAACATTTGCATATTTACAAGCCTATTATAATCTCCTCATATTCCATGTTCCAGTCTTTAGTGTGTGTTTGTTTATTTTTAATCTCTCCTTCCTGTTTAATATACCAAGTCTTTGCAATGATCGGACAATAATTGCTAGCTCAGGCGTGGCAATGCGGTTGGACCTTTTTTAGAGACGATGATCCAACAGTAACGCCTGAAAATGGTTTGTTGTGTCTGTCCGTGATTGTTCAAGGGCAAGAGATGAAGTTAATGAGAATGGATGCCGCCCTAAACCTTATCCTCATCAAAAGATTAATTAAAGGGAATGAAAAAGTTAGGAATGAATAATAGCGTGTGAAGCCAGTTCATACTTCCCTCTTGTAAGGAACCAACCCATCACCTGCCCTAAATAATTCAATAAATAAAAACACCATCCCACCTAAGCTATTAAGTGATATATTGTACCTAACAGACTCCAAAGCTAAAGAATTGGGGTTTTATCGATACACACTGTGCGGTGCCATAGTGTCAGACCATATTCCTCTCCAACCGCTATGTTTTGTGACTTCAGAAAACACTAATTTTACCTAGGACTCTGAGAAAACATTCGGAAACATTCGTCATTGGAAACTTCTTCAAAAATGAACAGGATTTAGGCTGGGTGGCGATATAGAAAACTGCATAATGGCTTTCTGTTCGTCGGTGTTACTCGCCGTTGGCCTGTACGGTAAACAACAATATGAGTTACTTACTATAAAATGATAAATTTCTTCTTATCAGATAAATAAACTCTACCCTTTAACTCTCTTAATTTTTATGATAATAATTAACCTGAATTCGCACAGTTTCTAACGAACGTAATGTTATCACGAGGACAGAACAGGTAATAAATAAGGAAAAGCCTAAAAACGTTTTAGATTAGAGTATAGCGGAGAAAAAAGGGCGATAAAAGATAACGAGTGATAATGTGAATTTGCAAACGTGACTTAGTCATGCCAGGAGATAGTGGAGATATCCTGTCCGTGATGAGAAACAGGAAGTTGAAATACAGTACAAGATAACATAGCAATAAAATAATGGCTGCCCCTCGTGTAACGAGGATATCCGGCCCTAGGGCCACCTAGGCGTGCATTTGTTTAAGGTGTAGAAGCTGTCGTTAACACAACAATCACATTCTAAGTTAACGAGTTGCATGACCCAGTGTCAAGGAATAGTCCGAGAAGACCGGACAACTCGCCAACTGCACTGGCTAACCATTACCCCGGAACACGATCCGCAAATCTACTAACATCCAGGTCCCCAATTACTGCTGGGCAGACAGGCAAATGGCGTAAAGAAACTTGCCCATAGTTTCACCCTGCCGGAGACTGAACCCGGGTCAGCTCGCTTGCGCGGCGAGCGAGCGGACCATTACACCACATGTTCTGGCCCTTAACCCTTGATTCTTGATGAGTTAATGGAGCTGGAACATGTAAAAGTTTATTGGGTTTTAGTAGCGAAACTCAACTGGTACTTTTCTTCATT